CGCCAGAAATGCTGTTCGGTGAGCATTCACATTGGCAGTAATTTGTTACTGTTCTAGATATACCACAATTTCCTTCAGTGGGTGTGTAGGCTTGATGTAGGACATTTGCTTCAGACAGCAATGATACTGATACTATGATACTGATATGAGAAACTCTACTTCGAAGATCCCATGAAAGAATAAGTCCTATCCCTCAGAAAAAGACCAAGTGGTAGGTGGGAGCTTGTGAGGAGGAACACATGTGTGAAAATAGAGCTTACAGCACAAAACCACGTTTGCTAGATTTATTAAGCAAACAATGAGACAGCATTCAAAACCAAGTGAACAAATATCGGTGGCCTATTCACATAGCATAGAATACACCTTCCTTATATTTCGCTGCTTTACCTGGTATTGGTTTCATTTTCAAAGGGAACTAAACGATGATAGAAGACAATAACCATCAGAAGTGCTAGTCCCAGCGTACATATCTGCGTAACCATCACGTATTTGTAGCCGGAGTACTTGAACAAATACCTGGAATTTCAATGTAAGTTGACGAAGCGAAGAAAGTCTCTTTTTAAGCATTGTTTCAGTAATGAAAGATAAAAGGTGGTGATGTAACTGTTGGGTAGGTCGAAGGCGATGGTGGTCATTGTTGGCCAGTGATACGGTGGGTGGTCTGCCAGTCATGCCTGAGGGGCAAGTGAACTGGTTTTTGCCCCAAATGTTGATCTCATGGGGGTATATAAACCCCACTGTTTTCGTTGATTTCGTTCGACTAATAAATATTCTTCTACTGCCGACTCTGCCTACTGCTTCCGATGACGATCGGCCGACGCATCGGAGTACGGGATAGGAGCAGTGATCAGTCACCGCTTCTCGGATGGAACAGAGAAAGCAATCCACCATGCTTGCCGTTCCCTGACAGCTGCCGAGAAGAACTACGGTCAAGTCGAGAAGGAAGCTCTCGCCATAACGTTCGCTCTGCGGAAGTTCCACCGCTACATCCTCGGACGTCATTTCAAGCTGTTAACCGACCACAAGCCACTCCTAGCCATCTTTGGGAGCAAGAAAGGAGTGCCTGTCTACACAGCGAATCGACTGCAACGCTGGGCCCTCATAGTGAAGAGTTACGACTTCAGTATTGAATACCGGAGCACCACCAGTTTCGGACAAGCAGACGTCTTATCTCGCCTCATCGCTGAACAATCCACAGCTCAAGAAGATCAAGTCATTGCAGCTATCGAGATGGATTCGGCGACTATTTTCGTCAATGCAACAACGAAACTGCCAGTCGACGCTGAAACAGTGGCAGAAGAAACCACCAAGGATCCCATTCTGAAGAATGTTTTCGAGTGGATCAGAGATGGAAAGTGGCCAAGGAAGTCAGATGTCGCAAGCCGATTCAACTCCCTCAGAAGATCGCTTTCAACGCAAAATGGATGTCTACTCTTTGGAGATCGCCTCGTCATTCCTGCGACCTTACAAGACGCCGTACTATGCGAACTTCACGATGGGCACCCAGGAATGACACGGATGAAGATGCTCGCCAGGAATTTTGTATACTGGATGAACATCAACAACGACATTGAAGACTTCGTCAAATCTTGTCGCCGCTGCCAGGAAACTGCGAAGAGCCCTATCAAAGCAACCCTGTGCTCATGGCCGATGGAGGACAAGCCGTGGAATCGCATACACGCCGATTTCGCCGGACCGATGGATGGAAAGATGTATCTCATCATCGTCGATGCCTTCTCAAAATGGCCGGAAATCGTCGAAATGTCATCCACGACAACGAGCAGTACGATCAGAGAATTGCGCCGACTCTTCGCCCAATTTGGAAATCCACAAACGCTAGTGACGGATAACGGACCTCAATTCACATCCAACGACTTCAGCGAGTTCTGCAAGAAGAACGGTATAAGGCATATCAAGTCGCCACCGTTCCACCCGCAGTCTAACGGCCAGGCAGAACGCTTCGTCGACACCTTCAAAAGAAGTTTTGCGAAGATGAAGGAAAGTCGTCGCCGAATGAAGCACTACAAAAGTTTCTGCTAAACTACCGCCGAACCCCTTGCCCTTCAGGACAATCACCAGCTGAAGCGTTCCTCGGAAGAGAGATCCGCACAAAATCTCATGTCTTCTGTAAGCCATCTGCACTCAAAATGAAGCGATTCAACGGAGAAGATGGGGGAATACCTAATACAATCTGCCACCATGGAGCCACGACAGAATGATGCCGTGGCTAAGCCCTCTGATTTAATCTGGACAATGGATTATCGTTCAGGGACTCCACGACAGATGCCTGGTCACGTTCAACAAAGACATGGCAACAGGCTCTATGATGTATCAGTGGACGGACAAATATGGAAACGGCACGCTAACCAATTGCGTCCACGTATCATCAAATTTCGATCTATTACAGAGCCAGACACCGAACTCGCCGAACTGCCGTTGCTTCCATGCTCGACGCCCACGCCATCGACGACCAGTACAACCACAACTGACCTGCAGCCCACACCAGCAATCGACAACTCACCGTGCACGACAGATGACTCAAGAGAAGACAGATCGAGAGCACGCCGTGCACCGCAACGATTGGTGATCGACCCGAGGAAGAAGACGTACACCTAGTGTCCATCTTAAGGGGGAGGTGTTGGATAGGTCAAGGCGATGGTGGTCATTGTTGGCCAGTGATACGGTGGGTGGTCTGCCAGTCATGCCTGAGGGGCAAGTGAACTGGTTTTTGCCGCCCAAATGTTGATCTCATGGGGGTATATAAACCCCACTGTTTTGTTGATTTCATTCGTCTAATAAATATTCTTCTACTGCCGACTCTGCCTACTGCTTCCGGATTCAACAGTAACGAAGTACCAATGTAGGTGCTTCTAGATTGTCGTGCAAGGTGCAGCGTGGCAGGTAACAGTTTGTATGCGGTTCGTCGCTTGTAAGACCAGTTCGAATCATCGCAAATAACAATATTGCAGTAGCTAACAGTAGAAGCTCAAGGCCAATCGAATAGGGCTCTGAATTGGCACTTTTCGCCTCTGCCTATCCGGTGAAAGATTCTCCGTGTAACCATGTAACGGCTGTACACGTTGGTGCCTTCCATCTTTTTGATCCTGTTGTTCCTCGTCTCTGAGATGTCTGGTCATTCGTTGAGGACCCATATTCGGCCATCCCTCATTCTCGAAATGAACGACACAATTAGGCGCCTTTATTTGCAGCAGTTTCCTCTAATTTTTGTCATCACTAGATCGAGTACAGTCTAGATGTTGAAGCTCATTATCAACGTTTTGAATATTAAAGGGAGGAGGTGATATAATTTCATGCGGTCTTTGTCAGGCGTTTCCTGCTGCCACACCAAATACTCGATCAGCAAACCAAAGACCAGCATATAAATTGATCTGAACCAGCGAATGATACTACGTATAAATTGACCCACGTTGTCAGAATAGGGGCGACACATTGTGCGATGCTGCCACCAAACGAATGGATTCCCTGCATTGTTCCCTAGAAAAATTGTTATAGTAGTCTCCACATGATGAACTTCTCACTTCCATGATATTCACTTGACGCAGTTTACCGCATTCTCATGCTTTTATTTTTGAGAAGCTTGCATGAATGGTTGATAAAATAACGAACAGCTCTGACGACATTTGAACAGAGAGCATCTCAGTGGTCGATAAAAACTGTGATCAACTTTAACCAAGTCCCCTTCACCTCCAGGAAACTTGTATGGAAACACAGTGTCTTAGCGCTACCTCATGACATTCGACTAAGAGTTCGCACAAATGAAGAAAATTCCAGAAAAGCAGAAGTACAAGGTAGCTGTTTTAGCATATTGGCGGTACTTTAGAAATACGACAGACTTTACCCTCACAAAGCAGACTTTTCTTTCACCCTCACAAAGCGGACTTTTCTCGTTTCAGAGAGACTGGGCTGGACCTATAAGAAGGAGAGGAAAAGGCACTCCGCTGTGGAGGCACGCGCTTCTTGCCAGATACTGGGTTCCTTGACTATTAAAGCACTTCGTAGGGTTGATAGTGAAAAACATTTAAATCAAAGCGATACTGCCCAAACAGCTCGTCAGCTCGTTTCCTCCACGGCCTGTAGAGCACACTGCGTTTTGATGGTGCCTCACTTGAGTGAGGTGCCTTCCATCTTCTTGCCAGTCCCCCTCATACACACATTTATTTACTTGAACAGTGGCAGCCTTTTGATAATCTCGATAAGCTCACCTTACGAGTTCAGATAGCTGGTCGCTTTTGTCAGCAGTTATCAGACGAAGAAGAAAGCTAACTATGAATACCTGCTTGCGTGGTCCGAGGATTTGCGAATAGAGGGTCGCAGATGGAGAACCGGTGAAAGGGAAGGAAACACCGAAGAAGAAAACGAAGCAGATCATGTATATTGGAAACGGCACTCGTACGGTTGTATCGCACCATTTGTAGGACGGCAGACATCCTCCAACCTCGCTTGAGTTCTTCCCTGATAAAAGGAAGCCTTTTACCATTGGAGTGGACGTCATTCCGGAATAGCATTTTGATATTCGGCTGGATGACCAGATTGTATGCTCATAATTTAAATAATGAGTGTATCAAATCGTGAAAGTTCATTGCGATAAAGACTGGCTCCCTCATGCCTTCAAAACGAAAGAAGTTCTTGCTAGCTCAAAACGGAAGAAATACTTGCTAACCTTCTGGAATATAGTCTAAAGGTCCAGCGTAAAATGGCCATGGAAAGTTAAAAACATGGAACAGTAGAAATACCGTAACACCGAACATTATTTGCTTCCTTTTTTCGCTGAAATTAGACAGAACTTCTATTGAGATACAGAGCCTGTTTGAAATACTTTCAGAAAGTGAAAAGACTTTAATATTGTTTCAGACGCATTGCTCACATTTGTCCTATGCGAGTATACCCGATAAGAAAACTATTTCCTGAAGATACTAGGCAGGACGCCGTTTGGAAGATCCCGTTGTAAAGAACTGCGTCTGAATCCTTCCAATTATACATCACAACGGACCAAGGCGTCGAAATCCTGGAACCATATCATCCGAACTAAAAGTCGTCGAATTTGCGCGAGATTCGTGAAATCGAACATGGACGGATGGTCGAGGTAACCGCTCAAATGATTATGACCTATGTAAGCGTACCCAATAAGAAAATTGTGAAAGAGAATCGCACACTTTTTTAAGAATGGCAATCGGGAGAAATGGGCTGCAAAGGGCTGGCGAAGTACTCACGATGCTTACCTGAGCAGAAGATTCTATCGGGATGAACAAGCGGCTGAAGGCGGCTATGTTGGACTGAGGTTCAATTGAATGAATTAGCTCGATTTTAAGTCAAGTCAGCAGTCCTCTGTCAAAAGAAAGATAGCGGCAAAGTTTCTTTTTGCTTTCATAATCGCGGAAATGTCTTGTTGTGCTCATAAGTCGTCATTATTCAAGCCTGTCATGGTCAAACTACGATTTTTAAAATATTTTTTTCCGGAAGCTGTGGTATTCTTTCACAAGGCTTAGATTAGCAGAATGTGCTGTCTTTTTTTTCTTATCTAAACTGAATGAGTTACAGCATTCAATAAAACGCGTCACTACTGTGCCTTCAAGACTGAATTCTTTTATTGTGTCCCACTTGCTGAATAGAAGAAGTTCTCACTGGGGTCCACTGCTTTACCCGTTTGACCTCTCGAGCTCATCAGTGAGACTAAGCATATGACATGGCTCAAAAGCCAAATTGGTGCGGTCGTGCAGGCGAATAGTAGTAGCATGCTTCAGGTCAATGGAGCCTCATTGGGCTCCACCCGAGACTCATTGTGCCGCTTCACATATCGCTGCTTTTTCAAAAGTTTGAATGGGCATTCAGACTGATCTTCCTCTCTTCTTCGAGACTGTAGCCTCCGCTTTAGCATTTGTGTCGTAGGAGACCTTCTGGTGGCCGCGTGCATGGTGCTTGCGCAGTTCCTAATCTGACCTCAACAGGTCTCATGCTCGAGCCGGAAAAAAGAAGAAAAACAGATCAAAGGAAAAATCAGGTGCAGCAGGAGCTGCCGGATTGGGACGCGATTGTTTGTTGTCCATGGTACTAATGGAGAATAAGCAGAAAACGAGAATTGGTACTGGCAGATATCTTATGAGTCGTTGTTGACTTGATATGTTACACCTTTCCGGATTGAGGTCAAGTATTCGGAATTTGAAGATATGGTAGGTTTTTTCTGCCAACCTGACACTTCTACCGGCGTTTGTGGCTGGGTCCCAGCGCGCTTTCTGAGTTTTACATTTTCACTTTCACTTCGTTTCTTTTTCATTTTATTTTCACTTGTCGCAAAGTGCGCGTTGTAATAGGGGGCACTAAATTAGTTAGCTCGGCAGGGAATCGCAATTTTGAAGAGCGAATAGTGCGTTGGTTAATCCTTCATTACCTGATGTTGCGAATTTCTAGCAATCACAAATGTTTTCTAACGTAGCGTGTGGTGGCGGTATATGTATGTGTACTGTAACTGGAAGTGAAGCAACTAACACTTCAATATTTGTTGCAACCATACATGAGACCATCCACAAGTAAATGCAAATAACCGCTGGTATCACATCAAATTTTGGGATCACCACGAAAGCATGGCTATCTAAAGTTGTTTTCCATCACTCACAGGAAAATCTGTGGGTAAAGTGTTTAAAGGGAAACAACCACATTATACACTCGTTGTTACCTTCCTGGTTCTTGTCGATGATACCAGCATATTCTTCCTTGAAAAGCAGTTTGATTATGAGACAACATGCAATTGAAAGAAGCACCATAAAAAATGCTGGCAATGTGTACATGTTGAATATTATCCGTCCAATTCTGAAACCATTCTCTCCAACCGGTGTGAAAACTGCCTAGAATAGCAACACTTTAGGTGCATCAGGACAGCTTCACATCTAGGAAGAAAAAGAGCTCTTGGAAGGAAGCACTAGACAGTTACGATCACGAGAAATGACATTTTCCAGGTAGGAATCAAGATCTAACTCTAGGCCAACGGATGAGGCAGTGCACAATGGTTGGTTACTCAGATCTCAATTCCCTTCCGATGTAGAAGGGGGACGCCACGTAGATGCGTCAGTGGCAGTAGTCATTTTCAGTGCCCCACTATTGAAGTTTCAGTTTCCATTTCTCCGGCAAACCAGAATACTTAACGCAATTAATTTGGCTACTAGACCACCTTTAGCATTTGACTAGTGCAGAAGCTGCTGCATCACCGAAAACTAGACAACCATAGGGGGCAGAGCGACCGAAGTAAAGTAAACTCAGAATTTGTGCATATCTCCACAAAGGGCAGTGATAAGAAAAAGGATGCTGAAACTTGATGGCAGCTAAGTTGGGCTGGAGGCGTCGTTTGTTCACACTCAGAACGGTTCATATATACTAGGAGCAACGTATGCAAAAGACGTTCAATTGTAACATCCCACAAGGCCTTCAAATGTTGTCTTGACTTCGTTTTCCTCTATATGCTATCGCCACTCTGCAGCGTCAAGAGGCCTTCCTTGAGGTTCTTCCTGGGATTTACTCGTACAATTCGTTCGCCTACAGGCTCCTAGGTGGCGTTACCAGCCAGAATGGTCGCTCAAGAGTTCGTATCATGTGTATGAGGAAGAAGAGGCTCTGTCGTGATGATTCCGTGAGCCTTCTATGACCGGAGCAACTCATGTGGATCCATCGTGAATCCTCCAACAGCCGCGGTGGTAGCAGTGTGTCGGCAAAATTTTTTCCGGACTGGTAGCTCGGAAGTTTTCCACCACTCAGTTTCCAGATCAAATTCAACCCGCCTTCTATCCTTGCGAAGAAACAGAAAGGGAGAAGGAAAGGAGCCCAAATTTCCTGCGCTTTACTTCCGTTGGAGGAGCTTTATTCATGTTCAAGCCTTCTTTCATGTCCGCAGGTGTTGTTATCATAAATTTAACCGAAAATTGCCTGTATGGCTGGACCGAAGGAGAGGCCCAGCACGTAACCAGCAGTACCATATGAAACAGAGCTGAGTCGTTCACGAGGTATGGAGGCAGTAGCAGCGTAAGCTCTTAATACCGACAGCGTTCCTGAAACTTATTTGTTTGTGGCTAAGAGCCGAAATTACACGAGCGAAGAGTTAATAATTGTTTCCGCAAGATCACCTGCACCGAACCCTGTCATTAACCTTGCGAATAACATAATCCATTTCTGATTGGAGCTAAACAGTGGAAGCAGACCAAATATGCTTTGTCCTAAACCATAATATAATCAGGAAGTTGACATCGATCTGAGAACAAAGTGGTGCAGAAGCAAAAATAACGACAATGACGATTCTCAATATGAGACTGATGGCAAAATAGACAAAGCGATGACGCATCTCACGCCGCTGTTCTAGGAAGTGCAGCGTCAAATGTAGTGTCGTTTAGGAGGCGTTCTACGCGTTTTTGTCGCATAGTGCTGCAAGTGGTTGCAGTGGTTAGTTGCATTCCATTCTCGTGAGGAGTTCATTTGTTCAACTGAAGCTGAACTAGCTTCACTAGGCGATGATAATTTCTGCGTTTCAACGCATCTCCTGGAAGCCTTTGCTAAGCACTCCGAAAGGCAAGAGCCAGTTAGCGCAAGTGCCGAAAATTCAAAGATGTAGTCGGATCAGTGAATTATTGCCACGCTTGAAAACGAAGTTTAACAAAAGGTTCTAAGTTTGCAAGTTTCAGTGTGCTCTTATATATGCATTACATTCTGTTCCAATCTCCATGACATACAACGAACCGATTATCATCATTATCATGCCGACGACGACGGGGGCCTTGATCGACATTGTTTTCTGATTCCATAGCCCGAAAAGTGGGTTTGCCTAAATGAAAAAGTCATGCTGCGCTCAATGTTCAGACAGATGTATAAAAATGTTCCTGGAAGGGACGTCATCTTGAATTCCAACTTGTGTGGACTTTGTAAATTAAGTCACTTCATGGATGTAAGATGATCCGGGGGTTTCACAAAGTTCGGTTACAATTCGTTCAACCACTAAAAAATTTTCCCGGTGGTACAACTCATAAATGTTGAAACATTGGCAAAGCAAGTGTCTATAGGCCCTAGGACTCCTAGAGGCTATCAGATAACCTAATATAGGAATGGCAAGTTGCATTTTTGATCACTCGTCGTGGAATTAAGCTGAATTGCATGCTTCTAGTGGAAATGAAGCATATGAGTTTGTTAAGAGCAACAGGATGCACTTGTCCCGGACTAGACGTATTATGTAGGGCTGCAGCGGCCTTTGATGGCGTACCCTAGATTGTTCACGTTCTCGGAAAATTACTGCCTGCTCTGTTTTCTGCACTGTTCATCTTAGCATAATCTGCGGACCGCCTGCTCCACCGCGTCAGGGTATAGAATATCCTGGTGCGGTGGAGCAGGCGTACGAATGAATCATATCATTATTCCCGTTTGAAGAATAGTGGTTAAGGTTACTGTCTGAGCAAGGCAGGAAAAAATCGGAAAAAAGAAAATCCTTAGAAGATTGTGTTTACTAATATTAAAGCTCAAAACCTACAATGGAACATCCAAGACTGCATGCAGCGATTACCCATCCTAAAAAATCCACAGTAGCTGTTCTGTCCACCTGAAGTACACTATCACAGAGCCTGATTAAAATGAATGCATGTACAACTGGTTTATTGATGAATTCAAAATGCCCATCTCGCACGAACGGTCATCGAGTAAGGGATTAGTAGGCGCTTCGCAGTTTCTGCACAAACTTGACTGGAACTTTACCGCGGCGTGAGTGTGGTAAGAAAGCCTAGTGCTGAACATGCTTGCTCAAAAAAAACAGTTCAAAAAGCAAAAAGCAAACGAAGCAGCAATAGAAGACAACCTTGTCCACCTAGCTGGGTTCCAGGGGAAGGTTTGTTACAATCCATTCCCGCTCCACAAAATGGTTTTCACAGAAAGAGCAGATAACGTTTCTGCTCACAGTTATGGACTCAACCGTACTTTAGCTCGCATTTAGACGCAGCTGGTTAATTGAGTCGCGGGCTATTAAGGTGTACGTCTTCCCATGGCCGAATCGCGGACCATTCAGCACTTTGTCACTTACTGCACCGTAGGCTGTTTGATGTTGCATACGTGGTCGATGTTGGCATTACTGGTAACTAGCTTGTCAAGGGTTCATATGATTGTCTATCTGGTAGATGCGCAATGAACATTGGACGATCTATCTGTTCTAGGTTCGACGATTGCTGGTAGCAGCAAGTGTAAGCCCAATCCCTCTAAGGGGCCCCCAACTTTCGCTTTTGTTGTCTTTTCCTTTGTATTCTCTATTACTGTAACACCCAATTGTGATAAATTTGGTAGTTCCTAGTTCCTCGTTCTACGGTCCTATCTGGACGGATTTCCGATTCAAATTTCCATCAACTCATATTCTCACGTACATGACGCGGTCTGGCCAACCGTTTTGCCACGCATCGATGACGCCAGTTGATTTCGTTACACATCCCACGCATTTCTCGTGTCTTGCCGTCTTTGCGGACGATGTCTTGTATTAGACGTTTTCCACGGCCTCGGCATCTCGCAGACTTGCCATCTTGAGTCGAGGAACGTGCTTACTCGAGCTCAACGTTGGGTCAGCTTCCATGAGTCATTTTGTAATCGATATCCTTAAGTTCGCCTTTATTCATGTTCTGTGCTTCGCCTCTCTTCACACTTTCTTTATTTCACTATCGAACATGATTTTTTTCTCTTCCCGGTAATCTGGACAACATTTCCTCTCGGTGCAACACTTTAGTAGTTTATCTGTTTCACAATAAAAGACATTACTTCGTCAAAGTCCGTTTATTGATAGACAAATATTCCTTTTATTCTCATTATGTCGAATTCTGGTATACTGGGCTCCACAGCATATTTCTGTTGTACGACCTCTTTCCTCACGCTGGTCAGAGTGGAAGAGATGATCCGAAAAATAAAGTCAGTTCATCGCATACACTGCTAAAATATCGTTCAAAATGCCCTGTATAACATCATGTATGCATATCGATGTGATTTGATAGCTAGTTCCAGCAGTGGTGTTATAGCCAAAATGAGGACAGTCGACGATATTCCCAGCCCTACGGGTCCCCATTTCAAGCACATTTACAGACGCACCCGTAGCGTTTTTCCTTCTTGTGTGAACTCCCCTTTTCTCTTGCGCTCAGTTCCTCATATCAGTTTTCTTTTTGAGCGCAGCAGTTACTAGGCACTCAGACTGCTCTCATACGATAACTTAAGTATTGCACCTTTTGTCCATCAGGCAACTAATGTTTCTTTGCT